ATTTTCTGTCTTTGCATTGCTTTTGAGTGTGTCTTCTGATACAAGCCAAATGCTGTCCGTCAGCCTGTTACAGCGTGTGCTCTCATGTACTGCCATACTTTTCATTGCTATCCCCCTGAGTTAAACTGCTCTGTTCTGCTGCCTTGCTGTCTAGGGCTTGAGATAAAAATGTTCCATTGCTGCTGCCATGCTGCCTGTCTCCTGTGTTTAAATGCGTCCATATCACCATGGTGTTTGCATCTGACTACATCTTGGCAGCTTCCAAATAAGACATAGAAAAACCAAGCCACCGCTGTGATGATGACTAATCATTTTGCAGAACAGCACGAGTCAGACAAAGGTAAAGCTCTTATGGCTCTCAGTTTTCCTTCTGCGACATACCAACACAGCACAGAGAGAGGACTGATTACTAGCAAGTACCATCATGGACACAGCTGTAACTGGTCAACAGATGCAGCCTTATTATAATATGCATTCCACAAGCATATGGAATTGGATGAAATTAAACTAAAAAATAAAGAGATTGAGCCCTTCTTCAAATGAGATGTGTGTGGAAGCCAAAAAGCCTCCCTGTTCTTTGTTTTCTACCTTCCCAAACTGTAGCAGATGTTGTGAATTCTATAAAATTAGAAAAAAATGCAAATGTCCACTAAATCCTGATAGGGACTAATGCAAAACTGCAGGAACATTGAAATTCAAAATGTCCATCAAGTCGTGTTTATTAACATCATCCACATATACTTTTTTTGGTCTTCAGGGTGCTCTTTGATGTAACACCAAGTGAATCTACAAAGGATGTGGGGAAGTATGTCTGATCCTCTTATTCATTGAAAAGGAAAGGGCAGCACGAGGTAAATGTTGGTTGCCATTAGCTTGTAAGCTTTGTCCCAGGAAAAGTTTAGGGCGGCATGAATTATCATAGAATGTGCCCTTTATTGGATTATCTATCGCTACCATTTTTCTAAAATACCCTCAAACCCGTATGGTTACCTTTCCCTTTGTAATATTTTGAAATTCAATTGCATTTAGGACATTTTCTCAACTTTTCTATCATATCTTTTTTTCTATATGCCTTCCTAAAGTTTATAAAGTTAGAGGACAAAAATAAAAATTTGTCATAAGACGCCATTTTTCGATATTTGTTGTGAGTGGAATTATTTATAATACAGAACCCATCTTATCTTAAAACATAAACATTTAGGGCATATATCTTGACTAGAGTATTTGAATAATGTTCTGTACTTGACAATGTTCAATAAATATTATCACTCAGAAAATAAAAGCAGCAAAAATTGGGTGGTACGGTTTTAATGTTTAAATTTAGAAGAAAATATTGAAGGCCAGAAATCATCTAATATCTGCTTCCCTATCAATGAGAACCAATGTAAACTAAATATTGCAATCCTGCTATAAAAATTTGATTCCCTTTACTGGCTATTGAGGGAACACATTATGACATGCAATCTTAATTTAAAAAGTCAAAATTTGAAAACAGCAGTAATACCAATTTCACATCGCATTTGAAGGATAAATGGCAGACCCTGTAGATGAATTTGTGCTTAGAAAAAATATTTTTGCATGTTTCCTTTTCTAAACAATCTACCCTTATCATTTAAAAATAGGAGTCCAATCTTATCTTGCAGTCCTGCCTTTCCAGTGCCCTCTACTGGGCACTACAGTTGATAAATATGTATGTCTCTATTCCTTGAGTTTCTCCTCTCATTTTATTTCTAAATCATAGACTAAAGGGGAGGCCTGAAAGAAATTTGAGAATTCCATCCCTGCTTTCTACTAGGGTCATATCCAAGCCACCTGAGAGATATGAAATCTTTTCTGTTTTTCAAGATTGTTAAGAAAATTGATTCAAATCTATTTTGTTTGGTATTTTCACCCAACTGGCCTATACCTTAGCTGCCTTAGTGAGTGTTTAGGTTGACTTAAATTACTGCACCTGCCACAAATGCCTTCCGGGTGCTGTAATATATAACACTGCCTTTTATTCTTTAAACACAAAAGACGTGGCTTTCATTCCTGGCTGATGGAATTTATCAGTGCAACATAAAAATTGCAAGTGTGTTCATCTCTGTTTCTTTGCTAGCCATAGTAATGGGTGCATGTGCACAATGGAGATGCTATTATTTCTATCTGTTTTAAATATTTTTTCTTAGTAAGTATCTAGACAAGAATACGTTCACAAGCAAGTAATTCTGGAGGTTTTCTAATGAAATTTATTTTGCTTCATTTTAATGTAAATAACAAACTATCCTTTATTATTAAACTAGAATTCAGTATAAAATATCCATCAATATATAGCATTTGTGCATAATATTTGCTATGCTTGGGTGTGCAATTTGTTATGGCTTGGATGTGCAATTGATCTCCAAATTGTATTGAGCAAGGTTTAAAACAAAATAAGGCAAAAGCCCTGGATAAAGAGACTCTACTAACTTTTTCTCTTCTTGTTTTTTTCCCTCCTGTGGTTATCAGTATACTTTTTTAATTGAAAAATTACAGAGAATCCCATTTAATACACGTAAGAGCTGTTTGGGCTGAGTTTTTACTCCCTGAATGTTAAGCACATATGGATATTTACAATATATAAGAGCATGGCACGCCTATTATTTCCTTTCTGTTTTGGACATTTGCTCAGGCCATTCAGTTGTCCCTTCTCTATGGTCACATAATGGAGCCTTCATTATCTCCAGCCACCTTCCAGTGGGTTAGTAGCATAACCTTCCTGATGGATAGATCATGTTTCTGTTTTTGAAGTTACTTGAATATTTCTTACAGTTGCAGCTAATCAACTGCTGCATTGATTAATTTTAAAACAAAGTGCCCCAGCACTCATTATAAAATATCAATATACAGTAGCTAAAATAGTCTTAAAGAGGCCAATAAGAATTATTCCATATTTCTGTAGTTGCATTTTGATTAAAAGTGTGTAGAATGTTTGTATGTATTATAAATACTATTCTTTGTGTAGCTATTTTTGACAAATATTTTATTGCAAAATGAAAATAACACAGAAAAAAAGTACAAGGGCTTTTCTTTTAACTTAAAAAAAATCAAACCTTTTTCAATGCTAACAGAAGACCAACACGCTTATCATATCTTTCAGAATCTCTTGAAGTGTAAATTTCGTCAGAGTGCCAAACATAGAAAGTTTATCTCAACCAAATCTTCAAATGGACAAAACATTCTCTTAGAGTCAATGGGGACTGAACCAGCTGCCAGTTGATATGTGGGCAGAGAGAAGTCGAGTGCCTAATTCTGGGGTCATTCAGTTTCTATGCTTCAAGGTAGCATAGTCTCAACATCAGATTCTGCATTAGAGCTTTGAATATATGATAAGAGAAAAAAGAAACCTGTTCAATTTCCAAAATCATTCTAGCTTACAATGTTGTTGACCATCTAGTCATATTCATAGATTTTGTGATAGTATATTGGAACATATATTAAGCTGAAACCTTTGTCACTCAACTACTGGGCCCAGAATTTTAATTTTTAGCATTTTTGTTGCATTAGACTACCAACCACTGTTTACTAAATGCATGTGGAACTAAAAACGGCTGATGAAAGCTTTGTAATATAATGGAAAAAGTGTTGGATTGGAAATCAAGAGAGCTATTTTTTTTTTCCCATTGCTGTCACTGCATGTTTCAGTGGCCTTGGAGTAAGGTGTATTGTTTTATTTTTTTAAATAAACACTTTTTACAAATACGACTTCTGCAGGGCATGGTGGCTCACGCCTGTAATCCCAGCACTTTGGAAGGCTGAGGTGGGCAGATCACCTGAGGCTAGGAGTTTGAAATCAGCCTGGCCAACACGGTGAAACACTGTCTCTACTGAAAATACAAAAATTAGCTGGGCATGGTGGGGGACATCTGTAATCTCAGCTACCTGGCAGGCTGAGGCAGGAGAATCGCTTGAATCCGGGAGGTAGTGGTTACAGTGAACCCAGCTGACACCACCGCACTCCAAACTGGGCGACAGAGTGAGACTGTCTCAAAATAAAAACAAACAACGACAACAACAACAAAGAAACCAAATGACTTTTTTTTTAAATCTATCATAAGTATTGGTTGAACTAAGATGATTATACCTTCTGCAGCTATAAATTCTGTATACCGAAACACTTTATCAACATCTGTCTAGAGATCTAACAAATTTCAATGATAACATACTGACATGTTCAAAAACAAAGTTTTGACTTTCCTCTACACTCTTCTCAGTCTTCTTAATTTCAGAAAAGAGCAATTATTTAGGTCCCAAATCCTGAAGTCTTTTTTAATCCTTCTATTCTTTATATTCCACACCCAATTAATCAGCAAAAACTGTTGGCTCAGCCTTCAAAATGATGTAAATACCGGCCACTTCTCTTTGTCTCCAGTGTTTATGCTCTAGTCCATCTATCATCTTTAGATTTTACTATTTTCATAGTATACTAGTATGGCTGAATTGAATTCTTCCAAAAAGGTACATGGAAGCCCCAATCCCTAGTATCTCAGAAGGTGATCTTATTTAGAAATTGTGTCTCTGCAGGTGTAGTAAAATTAGGATAAGTTCATTAGGGCAGGCTCTAATCCAATATGACTGGTGTCCTTATAAAAATGGAAAATTTCGGTGCAGAGACAGAGGAGCACACAGAGAGAATGCCATGAGAAGATGTAATTAGAGATCAGAGTGATGCATCAATGCCTAAAATTGTCTGAAAACCACCAGAAAGCTAGGGAAGAGGCATAGAACAGAATCTCCCTCAGAGCCCTCAGAAGCAACCGACTCTGCCAACACCTTATTCTCAGACATCTAGCCTCCAGGAGTTTGTGGCAATAAATTTCTGTTGTTTAAGCCACTCAGACTGTGGTACTTTGTTACAGAATTCCTAGAAAACTAGTGCATATCTTAACTGGTCTTTCTGCTTTCCACTCCTTCACTATGGCCTATTCCCCGTACAGCAGCTGGAAACAAATATATATATTTGTTTAAATATATTAATGGGAACCACAAAGACTGCATCCTCTCCTTTCCATTCTCCCAGTGGAAAGAAGAACTATCATTAATAGCAAATGGCAGTTGAAGCAACACCAAGAGCTGGCTTCACATTTAGGAGAGAATCCTGCATCTTCTCCCCCTCCTCATGGTTTCTTGTGCTCTACACATTCAGAGAAACTTCTCTAGTAACAAACTATAGAAATTATCCCTGAAAGTATAGCCTTTAGAAAAAAGGATTTTTTTAAGTACCAGTAAAATCATATTGCTCCTTTATTTAAAATCCTCCCATAGCTCCCCAAGTGATCCTGATCTACAGTTCTATTCTTTCTGCCATTTCTTCTCTGACATCACTTGCTGCTACTGTCCCCGAAATTCAGTCTTCTCCAATCACAGTTCCTGGCATATAAGTGCCTAATTAGTATTTGTGAACTGATAGAATATTTAAATTTTAAATCAGAAAAACTACTTTTGAAGTTTTTTGTTTTTTGTTTTAAGATTACAAATGGGCCGGGCGCGGTGGCTCACGCCTATAATCCCAGCACTTTGGGAGGCCGAGGCGGGTGGATCACGAAGTTAAGAGATCGAGACCATCCTGGTCGACATGGTGAAACCCCGTCTCTACTAAAAATACAAAAAATTAGCTGGGCATGGTGGTGCGTGCCTGTAATCCCAGCTACCCAGGAGGCTGAGGCAGGAGAATTGCCTGAACCCAGGAGGCGGAGGTTGCGGTGAGCCGAGATCGCGCCATTGCACCCCAGCCTGGGTAACGAGTGAAACTCTGTCTCCAAAAAAAAAAAAAAAAAAAAAAAGATTACAAATGGAGAGGATAAGACCAAGTGCATAAGGGTTGATTAAACCAGAATGACTTTGCAACATTTCATTCATTCGATCAACACACCTCGTTAATACCTGCTGTTAGCTGAGTACTATTCTAGGCACTGGAGTTTCAAATGTGGAGAGGCCACAGCTGCTATACATCTGGCATAGATGAAAGGGTAGCTACAATGCATGAAGGTAAATCTTACAATAGAGGTGAGAACAAAGTTCTATGGTATCACAAATAAGGGAGCAGTTACTCTGTCCAAAAAGGAGACAGTTAAGCCAGGCAATCTTAGAAGTTTGGTGGTGGTGGTAGGAGTGTTAATGAATAGGTGACATATAGGAAGGTGAACATTTCAAGGTGCTGACATAGCATGTGCAAACACACTGCAGAATCATGCATCTAGACAAGGTACCATTGGTTAGGCAGTTTCCCTAAAGCTGTGTATCCCTGGCTCACTACTTCACTGCTTAGCAGCCAACCAGCTGCAGAATCCTGTAGAAACACGGGAATCTCCGATCTTAAAAATAGGAACTCATAGGCGCCTTCTGCATTTAAGAAAATCCCGTACTCTCTTAATTTAAATGTTCCACAAGCCAATAAAACAAGAAGCCAACAAAGTGGGACTGGACTCTAACTCTGCCTTCAATTTAGCAGTGGAGCTGTATATCCAGCTGGATCCTGCTGCTAGATGATTCTATGTAACTGAATCCCAGCCCCCACTCCCAGCAGGAGACAACCAGGAATAGAGTCTGTCCTCAACATGAGAGATCTGACATATATTCATATTTCAATGTTTTTTACTTCTTATATGTATAACCCTAAATGTTTTACAACATTAATATTTTATTGCCCCATTTCTTATGTTGCAAGAACAAGAGGCAGACATGCAAAGAGAACTCATGTTTTTTGATGGTCTGATACTACCCATTGTGAGGTTCAGAGTTTTAAAATACCAGTTTCTTACCAATATTTAATGTAATGCTAACTATCACAACTGCTCTGTCTAGCCCAGGAAAATTGGCTTCAATATACTAAAGAAACTAGGAAATTGTACTGCTTCTGGGTTCTAATCCTAGCTCTATAATTAATCATTGTATGTCATAAAACAAGGCATTTAACATTTGTCTTAGTACCCAAATCTATCTGACAAGCAGCTTGGACTATAAGAGTTGTTAATATTCGTTATTCTCTGATCCTAGAAAGTAAAAGAAAAAAGGTGACAAATGAATTGGAAATAGCTTACCATCACCATCAGTAGTTACTTGAAAGACATTGAGATTTCTTTTCTGTTTGTTTTGTTAGTTTGTTTTCAATATTGACTTTTCAGATATGTGAATTCTTATGCCTCCTTGATCCATGTGTCTAACTTAGCAACCAACCAGCTTATGGTTTGAATGTTGAATTTAAAAATTTATTATTTTTCATATAAAGTTAATGGTGTGTGTGTGTGTGTGTGTGTGTGTGTGTGTGTGTGTGTGTGTTGTATTTATCCACCTAAGTTTCTCAGGCAGGGGTTATTTAATTCCTAGAGACTGCTTTACAAAAACTCAGAGCAGGCTTACACTTTCATCATAACTACTATGTGCTGTGAACATGACTTAAATGGGTAGTTGGTTTTCATTTCACATCATTGCTACATGTATATGCTTTTATAAAGCTTAGAAAGTATTAATAAAAAATCCATTGTGGATGAAACGCCATTTTTTTCTGTGCCTGAAATGATCCCTGATATTGACTAAATAACCTCTGTTTTATTTTTTTGATGGAATCTGTGCCTGTGGATCACATTTTGATCCCAAAAAGTCTTACATCACAAATCCTGGAGCAAATGTTAGTTACTTCATAATACATTACTTCTTCACTTCCCTAGTAGTACATATGGCTACATTCAAGGTTTAGCATAACTTAGGAGATACTGCTATGGGAAGTATGCACAGCATATCTTCCTAGCAAAATAGAAGCCATTTTAAACTAGATTGAGAAAAAAACCCAACAAATTTGGGGTCAAAGAATATGTGTAGAAAGTCAATTTTTATTTAAAAAAACCCAAACTTTTATTTTCATTAATTTTTTGGCATTACCATCTGTCATAATGTATACAGAAGTGATATGAGATTTATTTTTTAGGATATAAGAAGTAATTTCTTTAAAAAAATGAGTAAAGATTTCGAATGATACTTTTCAGTATCTTATATAATTACTAAGCTCACAGTAATATCAAATAAAAGTATTTGTTCAGTATATTAAGAAATTAAACTTTAAGCGAATTTTATGATGTTTCTGTGTATGTTGTATTGACTTTCACATGATCTGATAGTCTCATTGCTACTAAATTAAAGTCAGTTTACATGATTCTAGGCCATTTATCTGTTTTATTTCCTTTTAAAAAAATCTATGCAACTCCATCCTATCCCTCATAATATTAATTTCCTTGGTTTCTATTCATTTTCAAACATATTTCCAAAAGAATATGATTCAGATAAGTATTTAAAGGAAACATATCATCACATTGAGTCAGGTATTATAGCTATATGTGAAAGGATTAAGCAGCTTAAAATACATTGTCACAGATCCTGGATTCTTCCCTCCTTCTTGACAGCCAAGGTCATATTTTCCTGGCTGCAACTATGGGGAAGGTTTTTAAACAGTTTTGCAGACCCAGTCCTGCACACCTCAATTAATGTATCTTTGTGGAGTAGTGGGGAGGACCACTTTTGTAATGATGTGTATCTTAAAACACACAAAATTTTATAACTCATGCAAAACAGAGCTGCATTTATTTGCAGCTGCTGATGACAAAAATACCTCTGAGAGCAGCTTATTTTTATTTCCGCTTGGTTGAAAATATGCAGAAACAAATCTTCCCACAATTAGGATGACAGGACACGTTCTGCTCTTCATCTCAAGCTCCTCTCTGCTGCCACACCCACTTGATGGCTATGCTCTGCCATCTCCTGCTTCAGGAATCTACATCCTCCTGATTCCTATTCCTATTTAACAAAGCTCTGACATCCATCGGGGTACTTTTGAATTGATTGACTTATTGCCCTTTATATGAAATAATTTCAAGTATTCTTCTAGGCCAGCCTTAGCATCTTCAGTCTTCTAGTCCTAATTATGAAATAAATGTTATAAATTCATGAGCAGGAGGTTCACTGAGTTGCTCAAATACCTGAAATCACAAAATACAGTCAGTTCTGCTACAATGCTTTCTTTGAGAACATGAATCTGTTTCAATGTAATTGAGATATTTGGGAACAATTTAAGCATAATGCAAATTTCACATTTGCTTCTGTGGGAATTCCTCTGCCAGAAACACTAGGAAAACTCAAAAAACTGCACCCAGCTGAACCTACCTGCATAAGAATATGCAAAATTCAGATGTCACCCATCTCAAACTTCCACAAGCTACCTCAGTTCACTATGTGTGCTGTGAATCACATATGTCCACATCTATTGTTACAAATTTCATCTGATTTCTGACAATCCACCTTATACCATCTCACAATAACTTACAAGTTGCTATTTTTATACTGCTTAATTTTGAAATAAGAAAACTTCAGGTCTTCCTTAAAATTGCATTTTATTATAGAATTTATGTATTATAAACCATTTAATATGTATAAAATTGTGCTACCATATTTATTAATTTCTTATCTTTTTAATGTGTGACTGATGAATTTTTTGTGTTGAGTGTTTTTTGCTACACAGCTTTGCATAGCATGGTAATTTTCAGGAGTATATATGCAGCATTACAGCAAAACTGACAATATGAAACTGCCTCCATTGCCAAGATTCGGCAGCAGGGATATCTAACAATGCCTTCTTTGGGCCTATTTTGAGAACTTCTTATCCTTGATTCTTGTTTCAGTCAATTCTCAGTCACCACTCAAAGAACAGTTTTCTTTTATACACCTGAGAACAGTTAGGAAATGTATGAGCATTATCCTAGAGGATTTGGCTTTTATTAGGAAGGCAAGAGGTACTCTTGAAGAATTTTAAGCTGGAGAATGGCTGGGATAATAACAGGAATCAAACTCATGCTGGAGAGGGCTTTGCATAAAAGTTTCTATCAGGACGCTCTGATTGTGACTCAAAAGCCTGTGAGCTCCTGGAGGATAGAGATTGTCTAATCATCTCAGAAGCCTCTATGCTGGGCATCCTGCCTGACCTGGAATGGCTCAAACTGTTTACCGAACTGAATTCCAGCAGTACAAATGAGGATTAGTCCTCAAAATGGTTACCAAGAGGCACTGAAAGTCTTAATAATGATGCAGATAATCAAGTTCTCCACTTAGACAAGGAATTCTTCCCTTAGATTTTAGAAAACAATTGTTTCATAGTGAGAATTAAAACTAAATGACTTTTTATTTATCTTAACTAAATCTTATGCTTTTTGAG